CTCCAGAGGGTGGGCGGGAGCGTGGCTTGGCAATCTTTGAGCCAGGATCAGGCCCTGCTCTGCTACGTATTTGCCAAGTGACTGAGGGAACCTTGAGCCTCCCTTGGTCAGACTCCCTCTCTGTTACCTGGAAATCATAAATCATCTTTTACAGGGCCTTACGAGGACGAAATGAGGTAATGCAAATACCTGGCATGTAAGTATTAGATGAATGTTACCATCTAGTCCTGCAAACCTGACTTGCTAAAATATATTTTTAAAAAACCTTATGCAGACAATGGAATGCTATTCTGTGCTGAAAAGATGTGAGCTACTGAGCCATGAAAAGACATGGAGAAAACTTAACTGCTTTTTACTAAGGGAAAGAAACCAGTCTGAGAGACCACCTACTATGTGATTATATGACATTCTGGAAAAGGCAAAACTATGGAGACAGTGAAAAGATTAGTAACTGTCAGGGGCTAGTGGGGAGAAAGGATGAACAGGTGGAGTACAGAGGATTTTTAGGGCAGTGAATCATACTCCTCTGTATGAGACCGTAATGGTAGACACAAGTCATTATACCTTTGTCCAAACCCACTGAGTGTACAACCCCAAGAGTGAACCTTGATGTAAACTACGGACTTTGGGTGCTAATGATGTGCCATTGTGGGTTCAGTGACTATAACAAACGTCCCACTCTGTTGGGAGAGGGAGTTGGGGAAAATATTCAAACTTCGTACGTTCTGATCAATTTTGTTGTAAACCTAAACCTACTCTAAAAAATTAAGGCTATTTTTTTTTTAAGATTCTCTTTAGAAGAGAAAGAAATAGTACCTAAAACCCAAATTTATTATTAGAGAAAATGTACACGAAGGGACTTCCTCAAAGGGCTTAACTATAAGGAAAGATTATTCTCAGGTGTCCATACTGTCAGTAGTCTTTTTTTTTTTTTTTTAAATATTTTATTTATTGATTTGACAGAGAGAGATCACAAGTAGAGAGGCAGGCAGAGAGAGAGAGAGAGGGAAGCAGGCTCCCCGCTGAGCAGAGAGCCCGATGCGGGACTCGATCCCAGGACCCTGAGATCATGACCTGAGCCGAAGGCAGCGGCTTAACCCACTGAGCCACCCAGGCGCCCCTACTGTCAGTAGTCTTGCCACATCTTTTTTGGGGGTGTATGGGTGTGTGTCGTGTGTTTGCATGCACATATGTGTATAACATTTCCTCCTGTGGTCCCCAAAAGCAGTGCAATTAACTGGTGGGAACTGGCTGAGGCTTTGGGGCTTTGTCACCTCCAGACTGTTCCAGCCCACATTTCCTCCCTGGGTCCTCCTCCACACCAGCGTTATAAGGAAATCTTACTTCATTCTTGGGTTTGCCAACCACATGATCTAATAGGTGCAGGTGCCAAGTCTTGACCTTACCAGGCGGGCTGCACAAGGCCTTGATTGTCTGCAGGTAGCATCCTTGGGGCCCACAGGAGAGCCTGCTGCAGGAACGAGTCACCACCCTGCACTTTCACCCTGCAAAGCTTCTGCAGAACCAAAGTGTTCAAATTCTCACCTTGATTATTTCAATCACAAGGTGGACATTCTTTTTTTTTTTTTTAAGATTTTATTTATTTATTTGACAGACAGAAATCACAAGTAGGCAGAGAGGCAGGCAGAGAGAGAGAGGGGGGAAGCAGGCTCCCTGCGTGGGGCTTGATCCCAGAACTCTGAGATCATGACCTGAGCCAAAGTCAGAGGCTTAACCCACTAAGCCACCCAGGCATCCCACAAGGTGGACATTCTTGAATCTTCCTTCTATAAGTGCCCAGAAGCCCTGGCCTCTAAGTCATTCCGTCTCTGGTTACTGGGCTCTGATGTCTCTTCTTCATCTTCATAGTGACCCCACTTGCCCTTCTGTCTCCATTGCAGCACTGCTCTTCCCTAACATGACGTTACCCTACCTAACGATGCCTGGTATTGTGTTTTGTTTTTCTTCTTCATTGGAAAGTGAAAACTGCTACTCAGAGTTCAGAATCCATAAAGGGGTTTCTGGACACTCATTTTAAAAAGGAAAAGGGGCGCCTGGGTGGCTCAGTGGGTTAAAGCCTCTGCCTTCGGCTCAGGTCATGATTCCAGGGTCCTGGGATCGAGCCCCACATCGGGCTCTCTGCTCAGCAGGGAGCCTGCTTCCCCGTCTCTCTCTGCCTACTTGTGATCTCTGTCAAATAAATAAAATCTTAAAAAAAAACCAAACACATTGTATTAAAAAGGAAAAAAGGCCTGGGACGCCTGGGTGGCTCAGTTGGTTAGGCCGCTGCCTTCGGCTCAGGTCCTGATCCCTGGGTCCTGGGATCGAGTCCCGCATCGGGCTCCTTGCTCAGCAAGGAGCCTTCTCTCTCTGCCTCTGCCTGCCTCTCTGCCTACTTGTGTTGTCTCTCTCTCTCTCTGACAAATAAATAAATAAATAAATAAATAAAATCTTTAAAAAAAATAAAGAAAAAGAAAAAGAAAAAAGGCCCTCTATCTTATGATTATTCAGAAAAACTGTGATGATGTCATCTGGCAAAGAACCCTGGCCTTGTTGTCTACCCTAAAGTTCTGTTTCATTTACTGACTGTGCATACCTAACGTGGGTCCCAAGCCTTGAGCTAGTGCTGTAATTATTGGAATAGCCCACACATTCTTGCCTGTATGTAGCAGCACATATGGACACCTATAGTGTATGTATTTTGAGAATTTAATTGGATAAATGTTTTAAATTAGGATAGGCCACAGATTCAACTTTTATGATGGGAAAGAACCTTCCAGTTAGATTGCAAAAACTGAATTGTTTCACTGATCTTCAAAGATTGATATAATTGCAATGACTCTCTCCTTCATCAATTTTGATTCTTTGAAAAATATCTGAGGTTCCTGGATACTCTATTGCAGCATTCAATGAGTAAACCTATGTTCTTTTAAGAGACTAACTACATAAGACTTGAGAATTTCCCCAAACTGGCAATGTAATTTTGAAATGGTTCTTTTGCTCCATGCTGCCCATTTTGAGTAATGTGTAGATTATGATCTATTTTGACTTTGTTATCAAGTTGGTAAAAAAACCTAGTGTCAATATCACCTCCTCCAAGAAGCCCACCCTGATTCCTTCCTTTGAACTCACATGTCATTTTGTTTTCTGCCACTAGCCCTATTTGGCCTCATCTTTATCTTGTCTTTACCCTGTAAATCCTTCTTGTATAGAAATTGCTGATCCCTCAGAGGCCAAGCCCAGCCTGACTCATGGAAGGTGTCAACAAATGCCAATAAAAGGAACTGAACTGTCAAATGTGTAGCATGAACAGAAGGTCAACTTTCCTCTTTGACTCTACATTTTGGGGGAAAGGCACAATCTTCTGAGGACCCTGCTTGTGCTCTAGTCCTGATTGGGTTCTGTGCTGCTGACTTCACTTCCCATTCTGGTCAGACAGATGTCCTATCCAGTACGATTAACACTAGGAGACGAGATGGAGTCTGGAGTGAGAGCATCAACTATATACATCATCTCCATTATTAAGAGATAGAAACCACACATTTAGTAGGATATCCTACTGGGCAGTAGGTAGAAATAGTAACAAAAACATTCGTTGCACTGCAGAATTATTTGATGCATCGTTACTGTAGGTCATTTGTTTCCTAAAAGATCATTTAAGGATTGTTCAACTAGCTCCTAAAAGGGAGGTGGAAGGAGTTGGAATCTCTTTCAAAGCAGGAAAGGAAGGGAGGTGACTCAGGTTAAAAGCACATAACTTTATCTTTTAGTAGGTATTAGGACCATGCTTTAAGGGCAGGGCAAAACCTACTTGCCTGAAGAAAAACAAAGCAAAAAAAAAAAATTTTTTTTTCCCTTTGGAAAGGGAGGGACTTTAAAACCATAATGTGCCAAATGCCTCCTCCTCTTTGAAAAGCCCTCCAAGTCAGAAGCAAGCCTAAGAATAACGGCTTTCTTAGGATGCTCAAAGTTCCTTGCAGCTGATTATTTTTCAGGAGGAGAATTAGACAAAAATAATACAAGTGGGAAATAAAGAGAATGACCTACTTTACAAGGGGGGAAAAAGAGCTCTGTGTGAGCGTTTTGATCTAATTGACGGTGTGGGGTTGCATGCCCAAATAAGGCGCTGTTCGTCTGGTCTGCGCGGGAGAGGGCCTATCTTGAACTTGCGCAAGGGCCCTGGAACTGAGTGGGCAGCGAACCCCAGCACAGTGGCCCTACTGGTGTTCAGAGGAAGTGCCCTAGGAGATTCATTCTGGCCACAAAGGCGAATATGATAGAAAAAGACTGGCCGGGGCGCCTTCCTTTCCAGGGCTACTTGCTGGAATGTGCGAGGGACGAAGGGACATCTGAGAAAGGCTGCTGGGTGCATAGCACAGTGCCAGGGGCTGTACTTAGGTGATGCTAGGGAAAAGGTGACCTCCCGGGGGTAGGGGACCTGTCCTCTCCTTTGGGCTTCTCCCCAGGCGCCTCCACGCGGTAGAGGAAGGCCGGTGAGCCCAGGGGAACCTGGTCACTGTTGCGGGACACAGGATCTCCCCTTTTCACCCGCCGCTGTCTCGGAGCCCCGCAGAGTATCAAACCAGGGCTCCTGGCTCCCGGGGACTATTTCTGTGCATCTGTCTTGGTTTGGTGTTTGCTGAGGGAGCCTTGGTGAAAGCCTCCCTGTTTGCTCGCGCGCGCGCCGCTCCAGCTTCTCCTTTTCTTGGATTCTCGCCTGTCTCCTCCCACAGAGGGAAAAAAAAAAAAAAAAAAGGTCACGTATGTTTGGAAAAATATGTAGGTCAGTGGAACATTTCCTGCACTGGTGCAAAAGGAGAGGAGGGCAGCAGGGGAGGGGAGGGAGAGGCAGACCAGAGCTCGGAGGGCGCGCTCCTGGCTTCAGCCCCCCACCCCACATGCTTCTGCCTGGGTGTGTATGTGGGGTGGTGGGGGGTCAAATAGCCCGTTCCTTTCCATCCTTGACCCATTTTCCTGACGGACTATGTTCGCCTTGGAAGCAACACCGATTATTCCTCCCCGGCAGGCGCTGCGGTCCTCCCCGGAACAGCGCTCTCCAGCTTTCTCCCCCATCCCCAGCGTCCCAACTGCCCCCTCCCTCCCCGTCCGGCCGCCACCGCTCATTGAGAAATCACGGTGGTCCTAGCGCAGAGACTCGCCCAGAGCCTGGCCTCTGGCTCCGCGCTCAGACCCGCCCCTCTAGAACGGCGTGGAGGGGACGAGAGTCGTGCGCTCGTCCCCCTCTCCCCCCAACGCACGGGACAGCGGGGTGGCAGCGGGCACGGCGAGGGTGTCTGCACAAAGCAGGGGAGGAAGATTCCTTGCCACCCCCGGCGACAACTTTCACCGGACTTCAGCTGGCAGCCCCGTGTCCGCCTACCTCCCCTCTCAGCCAGTTTACCTCTAAGCACACACACCGCCACCTCGCGCCCAGTCCCGACCCCGCGCCCCAGGCCGGACTCCGCCGCGCGTCCCTGGCAGCCCAGCAGAGGCGGCGGCGGCCTCGGGCGCGCGGGTGTCTGCGCCTCCCAGAGAAACTGGGGGTCCGGGGGTGTCTCAGGATGCGAGTCCTCGGCTGGGCTGGGGCCAAGGCCCCGCGCGCGACCAGAAGAGACCCGGCAGCGGGAGCGGGAGCGGAGGGAAGGAGGAGGAGGCGAGGGAGGAGGAGGAGGAGGCAGGAGGTGGGAGGAGGGAGGAGGGAGGGGGGAGGAGGAAGAGACCGCGGCTCTCCCCGCCGGCTCTGCGTGCGGAAGAGTTTGCCGCGCGAGCAGCCGGCCTGCCGCAGGAGCCGAGGGACCCGCGCGGCGGCGGCCGGGAAGCAGCGGCCGCGTAGCTCAGAGATCCGCAGCCGCGGTGGCGGCGGCGGCGGCGGCGGCGGCAGCGAGAGCAGCGCCTCCCGCCGCCGCCCGGGAGGAGCTCGCCGCGCCCGCTCGCCGCCTCGGCTCCCAGCGGCGGCGGCGGCGGCGGGAGGCGCGTCTCCCCGGCCCAGTCAGCGCCCGGCCCCGCGGGGTCGTCCCGGCCAGTTACGAGGTAAGGGGCCGCGCCCGGGGATGCGGGGGGCCCGGGGTGGGAGTCCGTGCGCGCTGGGTCGCGGGACTCGGTCACCTGCTAGCCGGCGCTGTGGACGCGCGGGGCCGGAAGGGGCGTTCAGGCACGGGGCTGCGCGGTGCGGGGGTCAGGGGCGCAGGATGGTGTGGCCTCACCCCCACCCCGGGTCCCGGCGCCCAGGACGCCGCGTCTTGCGGGACTGCAGCGGTTGCAGGGTCGGTGTGCTCCGTGTGCGTCTCGCCGTAGGAAGCGGAGAACGAGGCACCCCGAACCTCAGGATTTGGGGGAGCTCAGAGGGTACCGTCGGGTGGATAGAGGCCGTGTCCAGGGAGCAGCCTGCAGGGTTGCCCTGTAGCCTCTCTGAGCCCCACCGCTCTCCTTCGCGAAGAGTGGGGAACCGGGGAGCCCTAGGGAGTGCGGCGTGCGCGCCCCAGGCCCGCGATCTCTCCGGGTCCCTAGGTCGGATTTGGTTCCGGGCCCGACTGGGTACCCAGTCTGCCCCCTGAACGTTCAGAGAGCGCATAGCCTGGCTCTTCGCTTCGCCTTGCCACCGCTCCCCAGATTGGATGCCTGCGTGTTGTTTTGATAGGAGGTGTGCCCCCTCCCCGGGCGGAGGAGGGAGGCGCACCTTTGACCTTTCTGTAGAGCTGCGCAGGGTCGTTTACCAGGGGGTAGGAACAGGTGCCAGGGGGCTAAATTAAAAACTAACCCCGCTCCTCTGCCTGCCACTCCTTAACTGCTCAAGGTAAGAAAGTTTGTTTTCAGCCCTGTGATTCATAAATAATTAGTAACCAGTTTTGTAGATTAAGCAAGATGGAAACCTTAAAAATACACACGCACTTCCAGAAAGTCTAAAAACTACCACGGTTGTATCCGGGAAGCTTTAGTTCAGAAAGTTAAAAGACCCGGGATTCAACAGGTGTTCAGGAGGGGGCCCGAGAGGGGAAAACCCCACCTGTTTGTCGTTAGTACCTGCTGCTTTATTATCCTGCCCCAAATTCATTAAATTGGCTGGACTGTTTCTTTACAGATAAAATATTTGAGTAGTTATTAACTCAGCAGAAACGAACTGGTCATGTGTGATCATTTAGAACCCAAACCTTCTTTTCCTTAATAGGAGGGTTTTCCCTGTTTGGACTTTCCAGATAATTAGCTGGAAAGCTGTTCCTGGCAAGGTGTAGCTCTGTCCACACCTCTATCTAACACTGACTTAGTACCTGACTAGTGAATTGACCAACTAATTATGGCTTGTATTAAAGCAGAGCTGCCCTTCTTAGGTGGGAAGTGACAGTTTGAAATTCAAAGGCAACTACTAGGTCTTTCTGTCACAAAGATTTCCTTAAAGGGAAAGTCTGGGAAAAAATAACCCATAAGATGGGGGCCTCCGGGTGGCTCAGTCGCTTAAGCATCTGCTTTCAGCTCAGGTCATGATCTCAGGGTCCTGGGATTGAGCCCGGTGTTGGGCTCCCTGCTTAGCAGGGGGTCTGCTTCTTCCTCTCCCTCCCCTTGCTCCTTCTGTTTCTTCTTTCTCTCTCAAAATAAAATCTTTTTTTAAATTCCCAAAATAAATAACCCCACAATAAACATCATGTTTAAAGGTATTATTCTGACTGGGACCACTATTTTTGGGCAAAAGCGAAAAATAATACATTTTTAAAATCTCTGTTTCATTGTGCAGCTAAACCAGGACCTGTAGAAGTATTGGCATTTCTCAGCAGTCTTCTTAAACATTTAGTTAGAAATAAAGTGTGCAACATAAAGACATTCAATACTTGTCTTCCATCTCCCAGAGAGATGGGGATTGTGGCGTAGAAGAATTGTAAATGTGCTGCTTTTAGCCATTTTCTTCTGGGAAATCGATGTCTCTATTTATTTGCTGATCTGTCCCACTGTGTGTGACCATAGAATTGGTTTTATTCTTACTATTCCCCCAAATGACTCCTGGGGAGGTGAGAGAAGGGACTTCATTCTGAAGGAAATATGTTATTAATAAAACGTTACCCCCTAAAGAGTTAAATGTGCCAAGAAAAGAACCAAGTGAGGCTTTACTAATAAGTACGATGAAAAAAAATTCCCTGATATGATGAGACTGTTCAGATGATGACTAAAGAATTCATCTTTATGTGGAAAATAATGATTGCTTTTAAGCACGTTCGGTCTTTTAAGAGTTTGGCTCTTTTTTACTGTTTCTGGGTGTTTAATAATGAAAATGGTAAAAATAATGAAAATGGTTTAAAAAAAAAGACCCACATCATATGATGTACATCATTATTAAGTTGAATTTATCTTATTTTTTGAACCATCTCTCTTAAGTCTTGGTGATTTTTATAGCTGGCTCTTCATCCTGCCCCTTGATTTCTGGTTACAAATTCAAAATTAGTGATTTGTTCAGATTAAAATAATACTGCATGCATATACTTTTTATATAATCACCTGAATATGTTAAATTTTTTAAAGTCTTGCTTTTGACCCTTAAGAACCCAAAGGGCTAAGTTCTTTTACCTAATTTTTCAAACAAGTAGGTATCCTGTTCTTCACATGAAAAAGTCAGTTTTTCCATTGTGATCAGGACACTGATTGTCCCATGCTGATCCCATGTAAGCGGTGACATTTCTTTCCCATGAGAGGTCAAATTACAAGGTGTTGAAAATAGCCCAGTGACTCAGTATTCTTGGCTGCTTTATGCCAGTGGTTTAATTGGCTGCATCATAGAAGCATCTAATTGAGTTTCACATTTAAATAGTGGAAATGATACTTGATGCATTATTTGCTTACACAAATGTTTAATTAGCATGTTCCTGATGTTCATTCTATTTGTAGCAAAGATGGGAGGTCAGGGACTGCCACATTCATATTCCCCACCACCTCTCATCCCTATGAGGCCTTGTTCATAATAGATGCTCAATAAAGAGGTGTAGGAAATGAGCTGAATGGCTGATGAGAGTTATCTAAAGGTTAGAAATTTGTGAATGCTAATGGAGTACTTAACTATGAGTAACTCAAGTTTAAATCTGATGATTAATAGTACCATGGAACACTAAATAATCACTTATTAAATGTGGACCTTTGTTAAAAAGAATTTCTAAATGCAGTCATTAGCTAAGGCACTACTGGCCTGCTGAATTCTTTGACATTGGGGACGACTTGGCATTGTAAGTGAAGTGTCCTCTCTTGGGTAAAGTTCCCTCAAAGATTATCTGAACTTCTGTGGGTCATAAAACAATGTGTTTTCCATCTGATGATGCAGAATAGAAAGGAAAGAGTTTCACTTCTACACTGGTGGGAGAAAAACAGTGTGTTAAAGCAGGTGGAAGGTGCCAAATGTCATGTCTCAAACTTCACAGTGCATGTGATTTCCTGGGGATCTTGTTAAACGTACATGCTGGCTCAGCACGTCGGGGTTGGGACCCAAGATTCTGCATTTCTCACAAGCTACCATGTGCTCCTGATGCTGTGAAACACCAGCAAAGTTCTGGAACACACTTTAATCCAATTCAGCCTATGTTTACTGAGCGCCTACTGTGTAGTAGGCCCAGGTGATAGAAAAATAAAGAACATGGGTCCTCTCTGCCTCCAAAGAGCTGATGAGATAAGAAAGAAAGATTCTTTCTAGACTGAAAATGAGGTGCTGGACCAGAGAAGGGCCCAGGAAAGGAGGTTTTCTGGTAGGGTTTCCACATTGCTGACCTTGACCTCTAATGAGTCATCTTTGAACGGAAAGCTTTGTGATCTGGCAGAAAATAAAATGCAGATCTTGAAATCAGTTAGACCTGAGGTAGCTATAGGTACCCTGCTCAGCTACTGTGTGACTTGGAGCAACTTTTTTAACCTCTCTGAGCCTCAGTGTCCTGGTCAGAAAAATAGTGGGAATATTGCTTCCCTGTCACATTGGAAGGATTACCAGTAAAGGACACATGCTAGGCATAACAAAAGTGATTGTATTCTTGTCCATGAGGAAGAGGGGGCTGGTAGGCAAGAGGAAGAAGAGATTCCTAAAATATTCTCCACGTAGCTCACCAATTAGAGATTCAATTTTTTTAACCAACAAACCCAACATGAGCAGTAGAGAACCAGGCTAGGGCTGGAGGGTGGGCAGCTATGGAAGTTCATCAGGTACAAAACGGAATTTTCCAGAGCATGCACATCTCCACTCTTCTCCTGCAGAGCCCTGGCTTCTGGTTAGCTGTGGTGATACCCTTCTAGCAGTAAATTTACCTGAGGTTGTATTGATCAAGACCAACTGGTGGGGGGCGGTGGCACTAGATGGCTCGGTTGGTTAAGTGTCGTCCTTCCACTTGGGTCATGATCCCAGGGTCCTGCGATTGATCCCCACATCAGGCTCCCTACTCAGCCAGGCTCCCTGTTCAGCTCTTCCTCTCCCTCTGGGCCCTGCCCTCCCCCCAATCCCTGCTTGTGTTCATTTTCTCTCTATCTTGAATAAATTAAAAAAAAAAAAAGACCAACTGGTGTTCCTGCAGTCAGTCACTCCTTCAAAATATGGTTCAGAGGGAAGGGCAATTACCTTTCCTCTTTGAGGGGCATTGGCTGGCAAGGCACTTTTAAGGAAGGATTAAGCGACCAGCCAATCCTTTTCAGTTTGATGAGTTACCTGAAATTAGTGCAGGGTGTGTCAGAATTCATCAGGCAGACGTTTTATACTTTATCCTCTGAGCTGATTGTTTCCTCTTGACGTCTGGGAAAGATGGATATTCTAAGGCAGTGGTCTCCGTCATCCTGATCTTAGGAGGGATAATCTGGGAATTTGCATGACCCTCAAAATATTTCAGCTTTGCTCTACTTTCGTGTGTGTGTATATATGCACACAAACACACACACATGTATATACACACACATATACACACACGTGTGTGTACATGCTAGATATAGATATTAGATATGTAGAGATATGAAATACACACACACACACACACACACACACACATTAGAGTTCCACTTATTATTTGCAAAGGAGATTTTATTGCTATCATTCCCACTCCATGCCTCCCTGCCTAAAATAAACCTTGAAAACCAAAGTTGTAAGGGAATGCCAAGGGCTGTTTGATATGTGGGGGAAGGAAAAGTAGAGGAAAGATTGGAGCCAAGGCAGGCAGTCTTTGGGAAGTGGAGGGGTAACAAGGGAGGGAAAGAGGGCAACAAACATGAGAGCACCCAGAATGGAGGTCAGAGCAGTGGCAGGGCCAGAGGGCGGGAAGTGGGGGAGCCAGGGACCCAACTTTGTGGACGGCTGCCTTGCGGAAGGCTGGGGGAGGATTTTGTTCCTGGGTCTTTGAGAGTCATCCAGACATCTTGTAGACCCAAGCCCATCTAAAGAAAGCAAATGACAGAGCTGAGCAGCCTCATTCTTCCCTCTCCCAAACCAAAAAATGGCACTGCACAATTTCACAAAGGATATTTGGGCCCCTACAGAGACTAGGAGAACATCTTTTAAATTATTATATTTCTGTTATAAAAGTATATGTAATTTTTTGGAAAACAGAAAAAAGTG